AGGGCAGCCCGGGTGGCTCAGCGGTTTAGCGCCGCCTTCAGCCCAGGGCATGGTCCTGGAATCCCGGGATCGAGTCCTACATCGGGCTCCCTGCATGGAGCCTGCTTCTCCCTCTGCCTGTGTCTCTGTCTCTCTCTCTCTCATGAATAAACAAACAATTTTTTTAAAAGGTGCACACTGTATGTCTGTATATGTGAAGTGTAAAAACAGAGGAACTAACCTATGACAATGGAAGAGAGAATAGCAGATTTTTCACAGGGTAGATATTGATTTGAGACAAGGCTCTTTCTGAGGTGCTGGAAATGTTTATATCTTGATTTTTATATATGTAGGTATATATGTATGTGTGTGTATAATCATTTTGCAAGCAATTTTAATTAAAAAAATCACACATACATTCAGCAAATCAACTTCAACATCCACAGTAAAAGTTCATCTTAATAGTCATTCTAATGAATTAGGAACTAGCCGTGGAATGCCAGCAGAAACACAGATTCCATGCACACCTGGGCATACACATATACAATTCCCTGCATGCCTGGCCCTAAATTATTAATGGCTTGTTCAGCCTCATTGACCCTCATACTTGGAAGAGATTTTCTATGTCATTTAATTCAATGATTCATCTAAAGTTTGTCTGCATCCTTCCCGCTGGGTGGCCATCCTGTTTTTGTGAACAAAAGCCCTCTGGTGACTAGAATACTGTCCTGACCTCCGGAGGCTGACTTACTATCATCAGGAGCCCATCCCTGGGCAAAAATCTATCCTGTCTATTCATTGGTTTTACTTATAACCATTGGGGTCTTGCAGTCAAGTGGACAATGGATTGTGTTGTTGCTTCCCCTGAACACTGTACTTTATCTTGTGTATATATTCCCACTGAAAGCAGGCATTTTCCAGGGGTATTTGTCTTATTATTTCCCTCCCTTTTTAATTAATAACAGATATCATTCCACCAGGAACTGTGTTGTTTCATATGCATCTTCTAAATAGTGGGAAACTATTGGGAAACTCAGGGATGAAATGGGATAATGAGGATATATCATTTTGCTTGGATGTCACAGGATCCATTTACCCTCCCACTATCTAAAGCTAAACACCCCTGTTCTCCCAGTATTCAGCCTTTCCTGCTGTCAATTCAGTGATTCATAGGTCCACAGTCCATTCACTCATTCAACATACATTTATTGATCATCTCCGATGTGCTAGCAATGTTTTAGGGAGACAGTGATAAGCAAATAAGAGACATGTGGCGTCTGCCTCCTTAGGCTTTCGCTCTACTAGGATTATTAATCAAATATGTACATAAATAAATGTAAAACGTAAAAATGAAACTATGATGACTACTGCCAGGGAAAGGTACATGATGTTATATGAAAGCATCAAATAGGGAGTTGTCATCGTCAGAGAAGCCTTCTCTGGAGAAGCGATGACTGAGCAAAGGACAAATAAAATTTAAAATAAGCTAAGAAAGAAGAGGAGAAATTTCATTTTAGGGAAAGGATATAGCATGAGCGAGGCCTTATGTCAGGAACCAAAAGGAAACATGCCACATTCAAAGAACAGAAAGAAGTCAGTGTAGCTGCAGTTGAGAAAACTAGGAGAGATGAAGTATGAGACGAGCCTAGAGGGGTAGGAAAGAATCATACCATTCAGGGGGGAAATGTTAGCGGACATCAAATGCTTATAAAGGACATACGTTGTAAAGTAGCAGATCAAACTAAAGAGAGAACAGGTTTTGAGAGAGCACTGCTTAGATTAGTAATTTGAGAGATGGAAATGTTACATCAAGGATCAGGGAGTGATCTAGGGAGGGGATGGAGTGGAGGTGGTTGTCAAAAATGAATCAAGGAATTGGCAGGCCAGATGTTGGGTGGGTCCTCTTATTGGACATTGAAATCACCCATGATTATGGCCAGGCTTAAGGTAGAAATGAAAACCATAACTCAGCGCCAGAGGCTTTGATAAATGTGGGGAAGTGACCTGGAGGTCACAAGTAATTGAGAATTGGCCATAGTTGCCATGGTTCTATTAGAACTTGTATAATTTCTCTGTGGGGGAATTATGTCTTCTAAAGGTTAATGCTGATGGCCATTGCAACTGAGCATGATTACAGTATTTATTAGCTTTATATAGACCTATAATCTTATGATTTAAGTACTTCTTAAACATATCAAAATTGGAGAAGATTTTCATGGGAGGAGAAGAAATAGAGAAAGTTAAGATTTAAAAGTCTAGGAAGGCCCTTGTGGTATCTCATGCCAAGCTAAGGTACTAAGGTTTCCTCTGTAGGAGCTGGCACATCTGCAAGCCTGCCATTGCTTTGTGTAAGGTTGTGGTAACTATATCTTAGGAAGTGTCACTTGGAAGTGGTGCACTAGACCGATTGGTGAAGGGAAGAAGACCAAAGGAGCACAACTGAGTCAGCTATAGTTGTCAGGGTGAAGTTGTTTGGGCTTTGAATGAGATTAGTGGGCAAAAAAGGGAAGGAATGGGTGGTATAAAATATTTCAGAGGACTCAGTTACCAGCCAGTGAAGCAACCAAATACTGTGGTGACTGGGAGACAGAGAGAAAGCCATACCCAGAAACCAGAAAATCAGGAAGAAGTTCATTTGTGGAAGAATACACATTACATTTCTAGTTTTAGAGTGCATGACGGGGAAGTATCCAGGCAATTAAAATGTAGATGTTAAACTCGGGGGTGGGTGGGTGGGGGGGAGGTAGAGTGGAAAATCCCCCTGTGGTTAACCCTTAACTACAAATGCCCATCCTAGCCTCCTGCTTTTTCTTTGCAGTCCACAGGAACTTCTCTTTTTTTCTACATCCCTTCCCTTCCCCTGACTTCTTCCATTAATTTCTAGTTGCTCACAGCTTACTTCTGAAGACAGTGTCTCCTCAGCTTTCTGCTTTATTGCTCTTTTCCTCTGCTTTATCATTTCCTAGAAAGCCTTTTCTTTCTTTCTTAGTTCCCCTCATCTGTGTCCCCACAGCCCTGATGGACTTGTCATGTTTGCCTCTTATCTATTTCCTCCCTCTGACTTTGGTCTTCAGAGGACAGGGACTCATTAAACATGTCCATGTATCTTTTCTTTTCTGGTTCAATAATAATTTGCTTAATGACTTGGCTAATTAACAGGTTTATTTTAAGGGTTTTACATTTTGAAGCCTTCGTTTAAGGAAAAAAAATGGGATGAAACAGTTCAAAACAAATCCATAATCCCAAATGTCACAGATGAATTGACAAACTTTGGGAAGTTGTGTACGTTTTCCCTATAACAGTGGTTCTCTCTCTCATATGACGGTGGTCAAGTGGAACTTGGCTCTGCTTTATTTTGTCCCCTTTCCTAATGTACTCTCTGATGAGGTATATAGAAACCTAATCAGAAAAGCTACCTTTATTCTTGGAAATGGGGACAAACATCTCGTCTCTCTTGCTCCTCCTTTCACATATTTTTCTCTGAAAGTCTAATGCGATTTAAACCTTTAGTATAAACTACTGGAATATGCATTTGCCTTCAAATAAAACTGAATCTTTTAAATTTCAGATCTCCCCATTTCGGGAGAATACCTGAGTCCCTGATACCTCTCTCTGCCTCTATACAGCATAATGTCACAGGAACCCCCTGATTAGAAGGCATGTCAGTGAATGATGCTACAGCTGGCTAGTACAGAGTGTAGAGGAAGAAGGGTGAGTTTAGAGGTTGGAAATGACATATATTTAGTGGATGCTGCTAGAAAAGGGAACCAGGGCAGCTCAAATAGGCAGAAGGCAACACAAAAGAAGGTAGCGTTGAAAAAATCTAAGAGGAGAATTTGCAAATCTCTAGGGACAAAAAGTAGATTCATAGTTGTCAGGGGCTGGAGTAGAGGGAGACTGGGGAGTGACTGTTAATGAATACAAAGTCTTTTGGGGGGGATGATGGAAATATTCTGAAGTTAGTGGTAATGGTTGCACAACTCTGTGGGCATATCAAAAACCACTACATTGTATTATTTAAAACAATAAAAGGAAAAAAAAAGGAAATCCAGGATATTCAAACATGGAAAACTAATGAAGCACATCTAATATAGGAAAAGATGAAGACTGATTGAAAAGACAATTGCCTATTTGGAATTTGGTGATTAGGAAGCCAGTGGTGAGCTTGAAGAGAGTAGCTTCTGGGGAACAGCCACTCCCATCTCTTCTTCTCTCTGCCCCGTAAATATATAATTTGTAAGGTTATTCCTTCGCATACATTTATCTCTATTGGCAGAATGTCTGGTGATTTTGCAAGTTTAGGAATGTGTTTAGTTTACATAAGCTAAAGAGATATTTTAGATGAGTTTTAGGAATTAGAATTAAGTGTGCTCCTGCTCACTAGGACGTAGTATATGTATCATTCTTCCTGTCTTTCTAAAATCAAATCCGTAGTGCAAAACTAGGTCAGTCCATGTCATCGTAATCTCAAACATAATTTCCAATGACCCTGAATGGAGCAGGCATTACCTTTGTTGAATTCTGATAATAACTTTTAGTGATATAGCTATTTTGCACGTTGTTTGCCCTGTCTTGTGTCAGTTCGTTGATGGAGTACTGCTGGCCTTATAACCCTATGTCAACCACATGTATTCAGTAGCATATTTACCTGGCTTGTAATTGAGGGTAAAAAACCTTAATCTGAGCACCTCTTATGAGAATATTATATGAAAGTCCTGTGAAAACTATTAAGCAAATTTAAATACATTTTTAATTGATTATGTTGTAGAATTGAAGGGTCAGTTAACTCCTTTATTGCTTACTAGCACTAGACTGGTACAGGGCTAGCCTCCTTAAAGCCTTGTATGTATGATCACTGCCTTCACATCCATGTGAACCTTACTAAGTCCTAGCCTTGCTCAGTAGTAATTAGTTGAACTGAATAATGTTTAAATGGGAAAAATGTAGTGTCATACCATGACTGAATTCTCTATTGACTTCATTTTTTTTTGTTAATTTATTTTATTCTGCTCTTCACTTAGGTTTCCCAAATGAACCTGCTTCTGTCATTGCCCTCAGCACCATTAAGGAATGGCTGGCCACGAATCATCACGAGGTAGGAGGAACAACATAATTAGCAAACAGTTAAGATGGTGTCATTTGATCCTCAATTTCAAAAAAAAGCAGAAAAATATATCCATAAATATCAAGTAATTGTAGTCTTTAGCCAAAACTAGCTGACCATGCTTCATTGGGGTTACATGGGTGATTGAATATTTTCTTGTAATTAATTGACTGAAAGGGTTATGTTGATTGGTTTTGGTAGTACAGATAGGCAGAGTGATCAGATTGACTTAGTCATTATCTCATTTTTACATCCTTAGATAGTATGGGCTTTATGTGTAAAAAGAGGATGAATCCATCCTATCATTAAGATTAAGGGATTGTCCAGAGCTACTTTCCTTTAAGAGTTAAGTTATCCTTGTTGACAGAGGATTCCTGGTATATGCTAATTTTTTTGGTATCCTGAGGTGTCTTTATTTATAATTAATCATTTCTATAAAATAACTTCTGAGTGTGAGTTTAGAGTAGGCATGGATAATTGATAGCTAAATCCTCATGATCAGGATTTCTTATGAAACTAAATGCTTCTCTCAGACTTTCCATCATACCTCCTATTCTACTTATTTAATAAAATCTTTGGGATATGTTTAGTGATGAATAGGAGAATTACTCAAGTTAACAAAGCAATACAATAAACAGAGATACTACTGTAGAGGCTTAGATTTCAGAGTTTTGGCAACTAACCCGTTGTAACAACAAATAGGTTCATCTCAGATATTCATGTGAGTGCTGTAAAGAATTTTGTTCCACTTATGATAGACTGTGAATTTAGCTTTCTTCTTGAATAGTACATGGATTATTTGTAAATGTTTGCGTATGGAAACAGACTATGGAGTTTGCTATAAGATGGAAGTAGTTCTTGATGCCCTTGTGAGTTTAAAGAAACAGCAGTGTAATTTTCTGCTAATTGTTATAATTTCAACATTTCTTAAGTAGATACAGAAATTGTTTATCTCCAATGGGAATAAAGACCACATGACCAAACATATCCATTTTGGTATTTGCTACACACACACACACACACACACACACACACACAATGACTGTAATAACCTCAAAAAAGCAGAATTTAAAAAAATAATTAAAATAGGCAGTTTACTAAAACATGTCTTTGACATATATTATTTTCAAAACAATCTCATGAACTGTCTAGGATAGGTATTGTTATCCTTATCCTCATCTAGAATCAAAAGGTTAAATGACATCCTCAGGACTTCAGAATCACAGAGCCAAGAGTTTGACTCTGTCCTCCTAACTCCCAACAGCCTCCTTGGAGGGATTCCAAGGCCAGGGGGAAAAGTTTAGCCTTTTTGAAAGTGGTATTTTTAACATATCTCTTGGTCACAGTAAAACCTCCTTACCTGGACCATCTGCTTAGCAAAACCATAGTGTTTCTTGAATAAAAGCTTATAATGGAGCTAGTATATTGGTGTAAGCCCATTATTTCCACTAAAATAATAATCCAAGGGCATCCTCTACTGATAGATTCACATGTGTCATGTGAGGGAAATATGCATATCCACCCAAAGATCATCAAGGAGATGATTATGAAGAGCAAAAATGTTGGTTGCATTTACACCTCATTGACACATTCTACCGAAGGATTTTCTCTAGTTAAACTATTCAGAAAGTAATTTTCTATAGAAATGTGCTAACTTGGTGTTTCCCACTTAATGGTTTGTGTCCTGATTTCCTCATTAGCTTACTCTATCTTTGAGTCTGTTTTTTTTTATTTCATATATTTTTCTTCTCATTTCTTGAGTCTGTTGTATAAAAATATAGGTATTTTGGATTGAAGAACACAATTCAATTATTGCCATTGTGACTTTAAACATATCATGTACTAATTCTATTTTTAAAGATTTTTTTTTTTGTTTCAACCTCCATTGGCTAATTTAAACAAGTTAACTTGAACAAGTCAAGTTTTGCTTAATAAATGAATTATAAGTGGTAGGACATAGAGAAAAGCTATGCAAATTTATTATCTTGCAGTATTTTTATTTATTTATTTGCTCTTTTAAAAAAACAAGCAAAGTAAGTTAGACACTTATGAAAGAATATCACTTCTCAGTCAATTGTCTCTTCACCGCAGTGTTATTTTGACATTTAAGTTATTTATTCATTAATTCACTCATTTGACAAGTATTTACTGAATCCCACCAAACACCAGAAATTTTTCTAGATATGATGGACAGAACACCAAAAAACAGAGTCCTCTTCTTATGATATTCATAGTCTAGGAAAAGAAACATCAACAAATAAAGAAAATAGTTCAAAGAGTATTTTGCAAAGTAAAACAGTGTAATTGGTTAATGAATTATTGGAGGATGTGGTTTTAGATCATATAGAGAGGGCTCTGCGGACATAATCTTGGAAAAAAAGATTTGTAAGATGGGCAGGGGTAAGCCAAAACACAGAGAAGTCTTGAGGTAGAACATTCCACATACAGGAAACAGCAAGAGAACAACCCTGGTGGGAAAAGAGTTTACTGTTTGCAATTAATGGTAAGAGAGACAATGCAATTAGATTAGAGACATAAAAGAATGGCAGAAAACAAATTTAGACAAATATGTAGGGGTCAGATCGTGGAGTGTTGTGGTTCATGGAGAAATTTGGATTTTTATTCTAAAGGCAAGTTGTTGAGGGTTTGGGACAGGGAGTGGCATGATGAGATTCATCTTTTTTTTTTTATATAAATTAATTTTTATTGGTGTTCAATTTACCAACATACAGAATAACACCCAGTGCTCATCCCGTCAAGTGTACCCCTCAGTGCCCGTCACCCATTCACCCCCACCCCCCGCCCTCCTCCCCCTCCACCACCCCTAGTTCATTTCCCAGAGTTAGAAGTCTTTATGTTCTGTCTCCCTTTCTGATATTTCTCACACATTTCTTCTCCCTTCCCTTATATTCCCTTTCGCTATTATTCATATTCCCCAAATGAATGAGAACATACACTGTTTGTCCTTCTCCGGTTACTGTGGCCAAGTTCAAAAAGGGTGTTGCCTGAGTTCTCCTCTGGGATTTTGATGGAATCTTGTCTCACATTTAGATCTTTCATCTATTTTGAGTTTATCTTTGTGTATGGTGCAAGAGAGTGGTCCAGTTTCATTCTTCTGCATGTGGATGTCCAATTTTCCCAGCACCATTTATTGAAGAGACTGTCTTTCTTCTAGTGGATCGTCTTTCCTCCTTTATCGTATATTAGTTGAGCATATAGTTCAGGGTCCACTTCTGGGTTCTCTGTTCTGTTCCATTGATCTATATGTCTGTTTTTGTGCCAGTACCACACTGTCTTGATGAACACAGCTTTGTAGTACAACCTGAAATCTGGCATTGTGATGCCCCCAGATATGGTTTTCTTTTTTTAAAATTCCCCTGGCTGTTTGGGGTCTTTTCTGATTCCACACAAATCTTAAAATAATTTGTTCTAAGTCTCTGAAGAAAGTCCATGGTATTTTGATAGGGATTGCATTAAACGTGTAAATTGCCCTGGGTAACATTGACATTTTCACAATATTAATTCTGCCAATCCATGAGCATGGAATATTTTTCCATCTCTTTGTGTCTTCCTCAATTTCTTTCAGAAGTGTTCTGTAGTTTTTAGGGTATATTTTGAGAACCATTTGAATGGTAAATGGTTCTCCAACCTTTTATTTTCCGGTTGTAGGTGTCCTTCTGTCTAAAATGAGTCTCTTGTAGACAGCAAATAGATGGGTCCTGTTTTTTTTATCCAGTCTGAAACTCTGCGCCTTTTGATGGGGTCATTAAGCCCATTCACGTTCAGAGTTACTTGAACTTCTTCTTAAAGGGGAGTTTTAAGAGTCCCCCTTAAAATTTCTTGCAGAGCTGGTTTGGAGGTCACATATTCTTTCAGTTCCTGCCTGTCTTGGAAGCTCTTTATCTCTCCTTCCATTTTGAATGAGAGCCTTGCTGGATAAAGTATTCTTGGTTGCATGTTCTTCTCATTTAGGACCCTGAATATATCCTCCCCCAAGTGCTAACACCTGAAAATCAGCGCAACAGGCCCCTCCCCCAGAAGACCAGCTGGACGGACCAGTGATACTCCCCCGTGTTCCAATACAACTTGTTTTTGGCCACTCTGCACTGAGCAAAATGACTAGAAGGAAAACCTCACTTCAAAAGAAAGAATCAGAAACAGCCCTCTTTCCCACAGAGTTACAAAATCTGGATTACACTTCAATGTCAGAAAGCCAATTCAGAAGCACCATTATACAGCTACTGGTGGCTCTAGAAAAAAGCATTAAGGCCTCACGAGACTTCATGACTGCAGAATTTAGATCCAATCAGGCAGAAATTAAAAATCAATTGAATGAGATGCAATCCAAACTAGAAGTCCTAACGACGAGGGTTAACGAGGTGGAAGAACGAGTGAGTGACATAGAAGACAAGTTAATGGCAAAGAGGGAAACTGAGGAAAAAAGAGATAAACAATTAAAGAACCATGAAGACAGATTAAGGGAAATAAATGACACTCTAAGGAAGAAAAACCTACGTTTAATTGGGGTTCCCGAGGGCGCCGAAAGGGACAGAGGGCCAGAATATGTATTTGAACAAATCCTAGCTGAAAACTTTCCCAATCTGGGAAGGGAAACAGGCATTCAGATCCAGGAAATAGAGAGATCCCCCCTAAAATCAATAAAAACCGTTCAACACCTCGACATCTAATAGTGAAGCTTGCAAATTCCAAAGATAAAGAGAAGATCCTTAAAGCAGCAAGAGACAAGAAGTCCCTGACTTTCATGGGGAGGAATATTAGGGTAACAGCAGACCTCTCCACAGAGACCTGGCAGGCGAGAAAGAGCTGGCGAGATTCATCTTTAAAATGACAAAAGGCTGACTACTGGTTGGAGAAGGGACTTAAGAGACCTCAGAATAGAAAAGGGAAGACCGATGAAGAGGATCCTGTAGTAAATCCAGGCAAGAGATGAGGATTCTTTGAAATATAGCAATGGTAGAAAAGGAGGAAAC